AAATATGACATGGCCCGCGGGCCGACCCGCAACCCGCGCGGGCTCTGGCCCTCCGCGGACCATGCCCGTTAGGCCCGCATTTTCGCGAGCCTAATTTCTTGCGGCCCTAACCCGCCCCATTGCGGGGCGGGTACGGGCTAACCCGCGGGCTTCGGCCCACTTTGACACCCCTAACTCTCGGGCACAGCCCTGCACATGTGACAAACAAGCGAACTGTTAATTCTCTTAGACAGTAGGGCATCACGTGTTGGCAAAAAAAACGAGGCAAGCTACCATGCAAAAAGCTTCACCTTGGGCGGAACTTCTGCATTCCAAAGCTTGGACCATGGCCAACTATCAAGTATTTCCCCTTTCAACCTATTATAGCATAACTTTATAGTATAATTCCCCTTCTGATCCCAAAACCAATACCACACATCTTGCAGCTTCCTAAGAGAAACCGGGATATTCAGGATCAGATTGGCATCACGGGTATTAAAAGTACTCCTTACTAAATTCACATCCCATCCCATACCTTGAGAGCTTAAAAGTGTAGCAACCGGTGCTTCATATACATCCGTCGGCACCGTTGATGTAATAAAAGGCACATCTTGTGATGGGAGCCATGCATGTCGCCCTACCGTAGTATCATGGCCATTTCCAATTGCACGCCTGCAACCTTCTCTAAGCACATGCTGCACCTCTAGGAGGCCCCGCCATGTGAAAGATGCGTTACTACCTGCAACAGCTCCAAAATAATAACCGTTATCGTGCCTTGTATACCCTTGCCACCAATGATGTGGGCTTGGTTATCAATCTCCAAGCCTGCTTTCCAAGCAGGGCCTTGTTCATCTCACGCAGGGACCTGAAGCCCATCCCCTCAGCTGTAACACCCCCGATTTTCAATAACTTTTTAAACCAATTAAAGCTTAGAAAAGAGATAAATTCTATTCAATAAGATTAAACAAGGTGGAAACTAACTAAACAAAACCGGGAGATGCTATGCCACACCTATATCAAACATAGGTGCACAGGCAGATACTACAACTACAGCAGTCTAACAATTCAACTACTTAGGCTCACAGGCCTCAACAACTATTAAAGGAAGAGATCTAATCTATATCTACAAGCCACTAGCGCGCTCTCCAAAGCTACCCAACCTGTAAAGCAACAATAAGAAATGGGACGACGCCTAGTCAGCGAATAATGCTGGTAACCCACCAATACGCGTTAAGTATTATACAAAAACATTTTCGAAACGGAATACTGTATATATCAGTTCAAAGCCAAAGATAGGAGTCAACCACAAAGACTCTATATCACTCACAACAAGGATAAGGGGAAACACATCCCATAACACATCAAGACGTGATAACGACAACACAAGAAAGGCTCAAGGCGTATTCTACCATCACTCAGTAGAATACCACCCGACATGCTCAACAAATGAGGATAAAGAAACACACATCAGCAACACATGCCTTCATGACATCACTCATCACGAATAGAGGAAAACACATCGGCAACACACGCCTTCGTGACATTGCTCATCACGAATTCAATAATCCATATACCATGGAGTCAGCACCACGGCTCGATTCATAGTGGATCAGTGTGGAGGGCTCCAAATCATCAACAATCATGCTTCACGTGGTCATCGCAGCGACCCGGATCACATGCAAGTGTCATCACAATGACAAGGACCGCAGCCCAATGGAAACAGAGCTAATAACTTTAAGTGTATACACCCCATATTGAGATTCCAAGCTCAACGGGTTAGTTACCATCTCTGGCAACGGGGATAAGTTTCCAATATTGCCCACAAGTCACAAGTAAAGTACCCAACGGCCATCCGGAGCTACACTACCGGTCCGTTCACACATAAGTCCCAACACTGTCCACTTTACCAGCTCAAACATCTCATCACATCAATCCATAGCCACCACGAGGACCACATCTGTACCTTAGTGATTAATGTCCCATACCATTAACCGTGCAATCAAGGTACAGCCAGACACACAACACCATCATAGGAATCAATCAACGGATCACAACGAAGATATGAAACCATACTCAACAAGGAAAGGATCACACTCCGACAACAACGATGATCAACACAAGTCATCATTCACAATAGGAAAGGAAAAACCACACACGCTAGCATTTAAACACCGAACTAGCATGCTTATCAAATGGGTAAACTAAACATAGTTCCGAAGAACACACAAAACTCACCATGGTTCAACGAATCACAATGTTGAACACTTAGCACGATTCAAGACACTAAAACCTACATGGAATCCTACCATATAGTTCTAGACATACGAAACATCAAGAAGACGCTCAAATAGTTCCACAAAAGAACATTGGGAAGTCAAAACATCAAATATCGAGTCAAAAGAATCACGGGGAACAAATTCCCGCACAAGCCAACATTGTACCCCGCGGGTGGGGCCACGGGTGGACCCCCACCCGTGGTTCCGCCCGCGGGAACCAACATTCCACGCCTTTGTACCCCGCGGGTGGGGCGGCGGGTAGGCCACTGCCCGCCGTTCCGCCCGCGGGTACCAAACCCTGAACAAATAATCCCTTCGGGGATTTTCAACACCAAGCTCAATTCAAGTCCAAAACATGCCAAATCTCACCAACCAATGGCATACAAAAACCGTAAACACAAGCTCTAGATATGAATTTTCACAAGACAATGCATAAACACTCACATTTCATTGCAAAATCACATGTAGAATCCAAGAAATCATCATATAGGTAAGAAAAATAGATTTTGTAGAGCATGGGTTACCTCAATCGTTTATCCAACCAAAAACAACGTCAACTTAGGCTCAACTCATAAAACCAAGCTACTGGGAACCTGTGAATCAAACTAGATCTCAACTATTAACACAAGTACTAATTAAAATTAATTAAACTTATAAAGGGGATTTGAACCCTAGTTTATCTTAAGATTAACCATACCTCTTACCAACTAACCTAAGCACTTCCTTGTTAACTTAGTCACAACATTAATACACTAATAATTAAGCTCATAACAACCAAGCTTATAAGATAGAACTAATAACTAATTACTTTAAGCTTATCAAGAATCAAACCCTAGCCAATCCCAACACTAAACACAAGCTTAACCAACTAAGCTAATCAACCACATGGTAACTTAATTAACATAAAATCTATTTAACAATACTAAACCAACATAAGCCAAGACAACACCTCACCTCCTTCCTCGATCTGCCATGAAGCCGAGCCAAATCCAATGCCAACCACCATCCACTAACGCAGCCTCCCACCATCAGAGACGTCGTCGGAGAGACTCCCACCGCCATCAATGCTGCCTTGCCGGAAAAACACCCACCACCGTTGCTACATGAAGAAGGTGGCAGCGGGTGGTTGCTCGGGAGATTCACCACCCGTGGCCTGCCCACTGCTTGTTCTTCCTCGCCGGAGTTGCTGGTCTGAAGGGCTTCACGTCGGAGAACAGGGAGACGCCGTCATTGCCTTGCCAATAGCTGCAAAAGCTCTTTCAGAGAGATTAGACTTACTTCAAAAGTAAACTCCCGGAGTTCTCTGCCTCGCCGGTGTCACCATCCACAACTGCCGTTCTGCCTGACCTGCTCTGTTTCGTCACATCCGCCGGGAAAAGCTACTATCTCTGTCTCTTCGCCGGAGCTCCTCTCGAACTGTCACCGCGCCCGGAAAGAGGAAAGATGATCGTTGCTTTGCCGTTAGAACTCGTCAAACCACACTGCCAGAACCATCCTAGGCTCGCCGGAGAACTGCCACCACCGCCGGCCCTTCTCTGTCTCGCATCGTTGCCGGAACACCACCTGTGACGCCGGAGAACCCCTTGTTGTCACTAGCCGTTGTCTGGTTGAGAAGAAGCAGAAGAACGAATGGAGGGTGGAGGTTTTGGTTTCTCGGCTGAAGAACAATATACCATATATATACATATACACATTTTATTTATCTAACTAGGATAGGTTTCTATTATTTAGGTTGAGCTTAGGCTAGATTTGGGTTGGATTTGAACACTTTGGGCTCACAAAATAACACACATATATATTTATTTATACTCATGGACTTGACTATTTGGGTTCAAGACTCATATAGTAAATAGTTGTATTTTTGGGCTTAAGGCATTTGGGTACAAAATACTGGTTCAACATACTAAATAGACCCGAGCCCCTTTCAAAATAAATAGCTATATAAATATTTTTATTAAAAATATTTAATATCGGGACTATAATTTATTTTAGGAAAATACGGGGGTGTCACACCACCTGCTTTCGGAGCTGTATAAAACGGCCACGCCCTCTATCGCAGTCCTTTACCTTCCCCTACACGGCCAGTCTACCAGTATTCATTCATCAGCGTTTCTATTTTCTTGCAAAGCCCCTCGGGCAGTAGAAACACCATCATAGCAAAAGCCGACATCGCTTGGATTATGTTTTTCAACAACACCTCGCGCCCCGCTCTGGACAGGTATTTTGCATTCCAACTCCCCACCTTCGTGAGAATCCTTTGTTTCAGAAAACATAGGATCTGTGTCTTTTTCCTCCCAACTAGTGAGGGTAATCCCAAGTACTTGCCCGCAGTGTTCCCCTCGGTAACCTCCAACAACCCAGTCACGGCATCACGTATAGGTTGTGAAACATTATTACTGAAGCAGGCCATTGACTTATCATAATTTATCCGTTGCCCCGATGTTCTTGAGTAGATATCCAAAACATCCTTCATACACTGAGTTTCTTGGGCATTTGCACGCATTCCTCATTCGCATCCATTCCTCCTGCTCCACCCATTCCTCATTCGCATCCTTCAGCTTTGAAATTTTATTCCTCCTCCTTCTCGACTTTACTGAGTTATGAAAAAACTTACTATTACAGTCCCCGCCCTTATACCAGTTCTCTTTCACTCTCTGCTTCCAATAGATGTGTTGTTTCTCTAACAAGAACAAAAGCTCCCGCTCTGCATTCTCATTCCCATACTGCCCAAATCATGCCTGGGTCTCAAACATCACGGCTACAACATTCAATTCGGACCAGCACATCCCGGCCCACAGTTCGTTCCCAGCTTTGTGCTACCACTTCTCGACACCTGTCCTCTCTTAACCACATGTTATCAAACAGGAACCTCTTCTGTCGCATAGTATTCACTGTTGCCACTGGGGTCAACAACAGTGGCATGTGATCACTATAGGTACATGTTAGCGAACACGCTTCAGCCCCATCGAACATAGTGTTCCAATCCTCTGATACTAAAATCCGGTCCAGCTTCTCTTCGACCATGTTAACCGCTCCCCTAGACCGCACCCAAGTGTACTGATACCCAGTAAAGGGTAAATCTTGCAGCCCACAATCAGCTACCGCATCACAGAACCCATTTATGCACCAAGGTGGATGAGGTGCTCGTCCACGCTTCTCAGTTTGGTGCATGAGGTCATTGTAGTCCCCCATCACCACCCATGGCATGGTGGATTGTGCCGCAAGATTACGTAACATCTGCCAGGATTCTCTTCTTCTCGCTTTATCCGGATAGCCATAATAGCCTGTAAAACGCCACACCGGGGCTCCCACATCTAGACTCAATGTCGTATCAATGAAATTATCACAATAAGCAGTTACCTGCAAGTTGATTGAGTTCGACCATAGCATAGCCAAACCCCTCCTATGCCCCACAGCATCTACCGTAAACACATTATCATAACCCGTCTTCACTCTCACTTGTTCCATTCTATTTCTATCCACAAAGGTCTCAATCAAGAAAACAACTCTCGGCCTCTTCGTGCGGATAAGATCCGCCAGTACCCGAACTGCCGTAGGGTTGCCAAGGCCTTGGCAATTCCACGATAGCAGAATCATATCTCACCGAAACTATTTCCAATAATAAAATATTTTAATACTTATAATTGAAATTATGATACTTACGATTGTCTACAATTTGACCTGTCATTTCACCGATAAAGATCCGTGAGACGGTCTCACACAAATTTTTACAAATATAAATAAATATGAGTTAATACCATATGGGGTCATTCTAGTATAGTGATTTTACCACGTTTAATCCAAAACTTTCAAATTGGCCACCCGTAGTCATTTGACTTTCAAATTGTTACCATCTTTGGTTTAGGTTACCACCCATGGTCCTTCAACTATCAAATTTTAACCACTCGTGGTCTTTTCACAAGGACCACGACTGGTTAAATTTTGAAAGTTGAAGGACCATGGGTGGTAAACTTGGACCACAGATAGTAACAGTACAATTTGAAAATCAAAAGACCATGTGTGGTCAATTTGAAAGTTTAGGATTAACCGTAGCAAAATTAATATATTCGAGGACCCCATATGACATTAATTTAAATAAATGTTGTTATAGTTTATATGCAGTATCGAGATAAACGTTTCAACACCTTAGATATATTGTCCTCAAAGTACTAGATACAGATAAGCTGGAAGACTTAGCTTTAGTACGTAATTAAATTTGGTCATCAAGTCCAGTTATGTATGGCTATGAAAATCATGCATAAACCAATCATTTTCCATTCACTGTATGCATGTTTTGATCCCATTTCTTGGGCCCCTAATTATTATTACTTCCTTCACTACAAAATTATATTGTTCTAGTATTTATAGTTGTTGGGTGAAGGCTTAAAAGGTTGAGTCTAATATTTTGCAATCAAAACGTGACACCGATTGTTACATAAGTATAAAGAAATAAAATTGTGTTTTTTGTTACTAATTATAACTTTTAGTGTAGTTATTAGGACTAGTATTAGGACTCTTGTATTTGAGTCCTAGTATGACTCCCTATTCTAGTCTCCCTATGATTCCTCTTGTATATATTCCCTTGTCTGCACAATTGTAATCAAAGTTTATTCTATACAATCCATTCAGTTCTCATCCGGTATCAATTAGCTAAGGTTCACAATAAATCCAATGAATTCGTGAGAGGTGATGATTCTGGACATTATGCCAATTCTTGCAATTCTATAAATAATATTATTGTCTGAAGTTGCTACTGCCCACCACCAAGATTACTTGCAAAGTTCTGACATCAACGAATGGCGATCGTAGATGCCGAGAAGGAGTTGCTAAGAATCCAAGATCAGAGGCAGCATCAACACGTTTGCAACATCACAAATTTTTTCGACAATATTGATTCAGACTCAATCACACAAATGTCGCAACGTGGTAGACATAACTTTGATGATCCGTGTCAAATTTGTAAAGGTTTCGGTCACACCGGAACCGATTGTTTTTTGCGCTATGATGATCCATGTCAAATTTGTAAACGTTTGGGTCACACGGGAGCCAATTGTTTTTGGCGCTATGATGATCCGTGTCAAATTTGCAAACGTTTTGGTCACACGGGAGCCAATTGTTTTTTGCGCTATGATGATCCGTGTCAAATTTGTAAACGTTTCGGTCACACGGGAGCTAATTGTTTTCAGCGTTATTCAGGGGCTCCGGGTTCTCAGGCTAATTTGGTGTTTCAGGATGGTTTAGGAACTAAAACCTCGCCAAATTCTCAGAGTTGGGATCCTCCTCCACAAGCAAATTTCGTATATCAGAATACCGAGTCACATCTTAATAATTCACAGACATGGATTCCTGATACAGGGGCTACCAATCATGTGACTCCGGATATTGCAGCCCTATATACGTCGGTGTGGCATGATCGCTTAGGACATCCACATCATCGTGTTTTACTTCGTATTTTCCAGTCGTGTCCGGTTAGTGGGTCGAATAATTCTATTCGATGTAATTCTAGTTTGTGTAATGCGTGCCAAATGGGTAAATCCTCTCGATTCCCATTAGCACGTGTTGAGTCCTCCAGTTCTAGTGTCCTTGGTTTAATATACACAGATATTTGGGGACTAGCTCCCCTTTTGTCAACTGATGGCTATCGTTATTTCGTTATTTTTGTGGAGGATTGTACTCGCTACACTTAGTATTTTCCCATGAAATTAAAATCTGATCTGTATGCTATCTTTGATAAGTTTCGTACTATGGTTGAACGATTTTTTAACACAAAAATTAAATCCGTTCAATCTGATTTAGGAGCTGAATACAAAAAATTGCATCATTCCTTTACTCAGCTAGGTATATTTCATAGACGATCTTGTGCCTACACTCATGAACAAAATGGTCGTGTCGAACGGAAACACAGACACATAGTTGAAACAAGTGTGGCCCTTCTGGCTCTTGCCTCTATTCCATAAAAATTCTGGGATTTTGCATTTGAAACTGCAGTTTATTTAATCAACAAAATGCCTTCTGTTGTATTAAATAATCTCAGTCCTCACTTTAAAGTGCATAATTCCAATCCCTCCTATTCTTTTCTTCGTGCATTTGGGTGTTTGTGTTATCCATATCCCAGGCCATATAATCGTCATAAATTCTCGTTCCGGCCATCTCCTTGTGTTTTCCTAGGTTATTCTGAGTCATTTCGGGGGTATAGATGCATGGACTTACAGACTAACAAGATTTATGTGTGCAGGCATGTAAGGTTTGATGAAACAATTTATCTTTTTGCTACTAAAAATACTATGCAGCCATCTCCACCTGTGCAGACTTACCTATGGGCAAAGTTGGTATTTCATCCCACTGCGAGTTCACCGCTACTTGGTCCTGCCGCCGCCCCACCCAGTCCCGCTGACAGTGATTCGGACTCCTCTCCACCGCCGCATACTGCCGCCACCAGTCCATCTGCTTCGCCGAACCGAGAGCTGCCTGTCAAGGCGGTCCAGCCCGTCAAACGCCCACGTGGGCATCCTCGCAGGAAAATGATCAAATCCACAGTTCGGACCCATGAGATGCACACTCGGAGTCGGTCTCAAGCTCCACCTTCTATCTTGATGGCTCAGGTTTGTCCTTCGGATCCCACTTGTTACACTTAGGCTGTTAAACTCTCAAAATGGCGAGAGGATATGGATCAAGAATTTAATACCCTACTACAAAATCAGACTTGGAAACTCGTGCCATCTTAGCCAGGCATGAACATTATTGGGTGCAAATGGGTTTTTCGTACGAAACGAAAAGCTAATGGTTCCATTGAGAGGCATAAGGCGAGACATGTAGAAAAATGGTTTAATCAAGTGCTAGGTCTGGACTTCTTCGATACTTTTAGTCTAGTGGTTAAACCAACCACAGTCAGGTTACTACTTTCTCTTGCTTTATCATTTGGGTGGACTATTAAGCAATTGGATGTTCATAATGCTTTCTTGAACGATAATGTAACACCCCATGTTACGGCCTTCAATCCCGGATTAATTATTTAATTAATTCCGTTAATAATAATTTAAAATGATTTAATTTGGTTAGGATTCACTTTAGTTAATTAATATGGTCCACCATGGATCGTGGACCTTTGCCTAAACAAGAGTCTTAAAGCTATTAGGAATAAAGAGAGTAAACATTTTACTAGTCAGATTCTAATTAGGAATCCTAGACCTATATATCTATTAGGAATGAAGAAAGTAGGCCTTTACTATTCAAATTATGACTATGATTCTGGATTCTATAAATAGGGGATTAGAAAGCAATTAGAACCCTTACCACCCATAGTTATATTACACGAAAATATTCCCGGGAGATTCCCCATCACCAAGTCTAGGGAAATCAATCGGATGGAAATCTTAGAGAAGAACCTTAATAGCCAAGGGATGATTAATTAAGGCTAAGAGGTAACCCGTGTCTCAACAAAACCTATTTTCCTTGCTATAATCTTCTTCTTTGGCTCCATTGATATGCAATTCTATGCTTGTGTCTTGATAAAGCTTTTATGATGATTATGATATAATCTTGACATTTATGAGATGATCTTATGTGTTGATCTTGATAATTTTGATGATTATGAGGGAATCTTGATAATTGTGTGTTGATCATAATATTCTTGATGTCCTTGATTTTAAAGATAAAGTTATGATCTTGTGATTTAAATGTGATTAGAGCCCTACGTTTAAATCATGGATTTCGTATTGTGATATATTTTTGGTATATTTGGGTGGGATTTTGTATGTTCAGGTATTGAGTCTTGTTTATGTATAGAAGTCATGTTAGGATGTATTTAACGTGATTCTTGGTTTTAATCCATTGCTTGTTTTCGTGGTGTTGTCGTTTGTGTTTAAATGTGTCTGGACATGGTTTTGGGTTCCACGAAAGATCCCGGGACTAAAATATTACAAAAGAGTCACTGGGGGGTGGGTGGGGGTAGGGGAACCCGCTACCTACCCGCTACCCCATTTGGTGCCGCCGGCAGCGGGCAGGCGATTGCTCGTCGGGCACGCACTGCCCAGAAGAGCGCCGCCGGCCCACCCGCTGGTTTTTCCCAGTGTGGATTGTGGTTTTCCCCGTTTGATGTTTCCCCGTTCCCCGTGGTGTCCCAACGGACCCCGTTTTTCGTGCCTGAGTCTAGTTTGATGTTTCGGGTACCATTCGTAGGATAAAAGAGTCTTGTGTATTGCATGCTAGTTGAATTGGTATCTCGTTGGCCTAGGTGAAAGATGTATGAGCCCCTTAGGCATAAGTTTTATTTATACGTTTTCCCCCCTTCCCAATATGCTAATGTGGGTTGCATGTGCTTGCTATGTGTTATGTGTGCATGATACCCCAATTTGGTTGCGATCAAATTGGCTATATGGGTAGTTGGATGGGTTGAGAACCATCGGCTGTTAACCAGGTCGGTTGTGATCGGTCAGGTATATAAATATTATATAGGGTTGCGGTCCACCATTTGGTTGCGATCAAACGTTATAAATGAGCTCCGGTTCATAATCTGGTTGCGATCAGAAATACACTTTTTGGGCTGCGGTCCACCGTTTGGTTGCGATCAAACGTTATGATGAGCTGCGGTTCATCGG